AATGGCTGATGAAAATTCAGCTTAGCCATCACAGAAATAAATTACATTTTAAAATGCATTAAAATAGAAAACAGTTATTGTAAGTTATAATAATGTTTCATAATATGTACTGTATTTTTGATCAAATAAATGCAGTATTGGCAAGCATAAGAGATTTATTTCAAAACTTTTAAACAGTAGGGTTTTTTCTTCATTTAAAACAATGTGCCACATACAATATCTATGCTCCTTTCGCACAGAGAAAAGAAAAGCCACTATCCTGGACAGTCTCGACAACACTAATGTGACCATTATAGGCGTGACCTGTGCAGTGGTGATTATCCTGCTCACCGTGTCAATAATCATTCAAATAAAACAGCCACGGAAGAAGTACATAATCCGCAGAGATGAATTCGACCCCACATTGCTACACAAGGCCTTTGAGCCCCCACACTACGAGCTGTGCACGTTACGGCAAGCAACCTCATCCGATGGTGATGTTTTACCTGAAGACTTCCCCAAACTGCAGCGCACCTCCTCCAAATGCATCCACGGCCACCACTGTGGCTCCCAGGTGTCCAGCATTCGAGGCAGTCGCAGCGATCTCAGCCTGCGAGATGCTGCAGCTATTCTCTCAGAGATGGAGCCAACCATACAACCTCCATTTCCTCTGCAAGCCACCCCTACTGGCCGCAGGAATATCCTAGTGATGAAGCACAGCTACTCACACGATGGGGCTGAAGAGTGTGACCTGGATGATGAACTTTATGATGGGCCCACCACCAGCCGTGGGCGAGCTGCAATGGACAGAACTGTGCATCGGTCAGTATCCAATGACTTTTAATGGCTTCCCATGCATTTCAGCCCAGCTTTTGGATAGATTACTTTCTTTATTGTCCATTTTGTCTCTGTTTTATTTGTAATAGTCATGCACTTGTTTATTATGTTTGTTGACAGACAAAATTTCCATTTTCACTGTTTTGTATCCATAAAGGATTATGGATCAAAAAACATTGGTGCATTAATTGGATATGTGAACCATAAAACTGTGTTCCTGCCAGTTTTCTTTTCTTGTTTTGTATATGACTAGTCCTAGGCTGTCTAGTCCATAAAATTTGATGACTGTTATGCACTTTGTTTTAATCCTAATATTGAGAAATGATATTAGGACACTCAATCATTGCATATGTTTGATGTAAATATTTTGATTCATGCTGTTTGGTGTGGGTATTATTTAAAACATTACATAAAAACATGTCATTACTGCTATGGCTATTTTCACCTTTGTGTTTTGTAATGTGGGACAGGCTTCTCTCTATCCTTGAGCTGTGTGGTTTAATTGAATTGTGCTTTACTTGTGACTTAATTTATTTGTATTTTCATTGCTTCTATGCCTACGTGAGAACATTGGTGCTTCTTTTATACTTTGTTACCCGAATGCTTCAGTTTTCATTCTCATATCACATATTACTGATAAAAATACAAACAAGTTGTTATGCTGTCTCATTTTATTACATTTGTATTATAAAATGC